AGGTACGACGAGATACATCACGCTAGTCTGTAATAGGAATCGAGAAGCCCAACAGCAACCTGCTAAGCTTTAGCCGTTAAGAGGTCTGCTGAGAATAGGTGCCAGCTCGATTCTGTTTATTCTCACAAAATTTAAAGCATATACGAACCATCCAAGGAAAGGCCTACAACATGACTGCTCCTGTTTTGGGACTGCTCCTGTTCTGGGACTACGCCTGTTCTGGGACTACCTCTGCTCTGGGACTACTTTCCATTCGCCCTTCATCACCCGACGGATAGTGGATCTCGGCTTTAGCGAGGATAACTGGCCGGATGAGTGCTAATCTTCTCCATATATCATTTCAATTGACCAAATGCCCTAGGTATATATATGGGCTCCCTCCCGCCTTGAATTCATGTTTCTTTTAATTTCGCCGCAAACCTCTCTCTTCATTACCCTTCTTTCTTTTTCCTCTTCTTTATACTCATCTGTAATGTGCTTGTCTGTTCGATGTATTTGCTATCACTTAGCCTGTTACAAGTTGGCTTCTTCAGTGTTTGAGTTCATCGGCGCGCCTCTCAGAATAAATCCGCCTTCCTTAACCTGTTATAAATCGCCCATAAATGTTTGAATTATTGGTTGCCTTTAAATTGCTCGAGTCTAAAAGTGAGAGATTAACAATTGAATTTCTTTCCACGTCCCTTCTCCTTTCATCACCACAACATTGTTGGGAACGCCACGTCTTGGCGTCCTTAAGGACCGGACCGTGATGGGCACAGTTCGGAAACTGATCTTGGACCAACAACAAATACTAAACGCCCAAGCTAAGCCCCTTAATTTGAAGGTCATTGGTAACTTAATACCTCCGACAAGTACTTTATGACCCTTGGAGCCCACTCGCTTCCTTTGAACAAACAACATTGCCCATTCCTAAGCAGGCCACAACTCTCTCAGTTCCCGTAATTCTTGGTATTATCAACAACCCGAGACGATTCATAACAAGGTGCCCATTAAACAACAAATTCAACCGTCAGCGACTCTGAACGCAACGCAAACGGAGATGGACTTCCTCGACTCCTCCTTCTTCACCAAAGCAGGCCATAAGAGCTTGCCAACCGCTGCAAAGGTTGGCTCCCTCTCAGAACAGTTCAACAAACATCCACGGCCCGCACCGGTTAAATTTGAGCATCTAAATCTTCTCGTCAAGTTTGGGCCGTCTGTGGCGGTTGAAGAAGCCCTAACTCTCCGCATGCTTCGAACGTCTTTCGCTGAGAAGATACCTGTCCCGGAGGTGTATGGTTGGAGAGTTTATCAAAATTCTGTGTTCATTTATATGGAGCTTATTCAGGGAGACACACTACATGATCGATGCGATTCTCTCAATGAGCTGGATAGGAACTTTATTTGCGGCCAGTTACGGGGAGATTATTTCTTCCCTTCGGCAAATTTGAGCCAGATCCTTTGCGACTCATTTATCGGTATGCATGTATCCTGCAATGTCTATCAGCGGAGACGCTTACTGAGGTGTAGGAACCCATCAACGCAGCACGTTTTGCACGGATTATGGTCTTCTCAACCCACGCCTCAAGCAGGCCCTTTTAAAAATGTGGAAAGCATTCCACGGACTGGTTTTCCTTTCCTGGCCTCAAAGCTGTCTTCCGGATCCAAGGATATATCGGGGACCCTTATGAGACTATCTAGCAGAACAATGGGGCCCACAAGTTGATTCTGGGAAATTTCGACAGGGCAATAATCCTA